ACTATAAATAGGCTTGCAGGCTATCCTCTTATCATCTACTTGTCTGGTCTTTTGACACTAAAAAATTTTACCTTGTTACTTTTCCATAATCCTCGTGTGGTTTTTATATATTTTTTATTTTTTACTTAATTTTAGGCTTTGCCTAAAATCAACAAAATAAATCATATATTAAAATATTTGCAGCTAATGAATTAAAAATGATATCATCATTATCAATTGTGAATGGACTTTCCTTTTTGTTACATCTATATGTTGAATTTGCATTTAATTAGCTTTTTGCCTTGCTCTTTTTTTTTTTTTTTTTGATAAAATGAAACAAATATACGGATAATAAAAATTTTCAGGATTGTAATATAAAACATTATTAGGACTGAAATTGTTAAAAAAATTGTTTATCTTACAATAAATAAATTACATAAACTTTTTTACCACGTAAACTTAAAAAAGATTTATGTAATAATTTTTTAATTTTACAAGATTTTTTTTTCTCATTCATTTCTGAATTTAAAACACCGTGTCAATTACTTAGGTTGTTTTGATGATTCACTTTGGGCCAAAAATCACAAATTTCTTTCTTTAGCTTTCTATTTATAAACAAAATTTTATACATTTTTTTAAGGAAAATTCTTTAGCTTTCTTTAGCTATTATACAAAATCTTTATACTTAATTCTTTTGATTTCTTTTCTTAAAAAACAAAAAAAAAAAAAGAAAAAACTTTTGATTTCTCCCTCTCCAATGATGTGATCAGCATGCATTCTCCAACTCATAAAACACCTCAAATCATCATTTTTTGAAACTCTAGTCCATTGTTACATTAAATATTTTCCCTTTCGTGGGTTCTTAAAATGAAAATTTCAATATCTCATAATAAAACAACCCAAAATAAGTGCCTTCACATTTTGAAGTCAGCCTGTTATATCAAACACATTTTTGTAAATATTAAATATAAAATTCTCAAATGTTCCCCATGTGAATCCTTTTGCAACTATATAAAAATTGGCTGCAGATCATCCTTTTCCATGTCCTGGTCATTTTATTAATGCTTAAAAATATATATATATATATATATATATATTAATTCACATGGATTAGTTTAGTTGGTAAAAATGTCCATGAGCAGTGTCATACCATTGACACCTCAAATTCCTTGCACAATGTCAGGCTGTACCTGACATGATTAGAAAAATATTAAAATATTAGAAAATTGTTTTCATATTAATATTTTAATAACTTAAAATGTATTTTAGAATCAAAATTAGAGTTAAAATAATTTTCATTAATTAAATAATCTTTCAAATTAGGTCAGATCTTAATTTGAAAAATTTTGTCTGGAACTAAGATTTTAAGCATGTTTACTAATTGGTAAGAAGAAGAGTTTTATTTCTTATCAATCGGGATTCAATCTTGAATACATCAATCTCGTATAGAGGAATATGCCCTTAAAATCATTCAGAAAAAGAATTAGATTCAAGTAAAATTTAAGAATAAAACTGTCCGTTTTACCAATTATAGATGTACATGTTAGGCTGTAAAATGATATAAGTGGGTTAATGGGAGAGCATCTATCTATCCAATTCCAAGCCAGCTAGAGAGAAGTTCTATCAAAGCAAATCCATTTATCTTATACAATTGCAACCCTCGTTGTTCTCTTGTCCAAGCTGTGCCACTTTCTGCCAGCTAAGAAACCTCCAAGAAAACCAAGATAATATGAAAGAGTGATGAGATGCATTTTTATTTAAACTAAGTCAAACAAAAACAAGATTTTTAAAGAAGAAGAATCTTCTATTTTTCTTTCAAAGTGTTGTAGATCATAAATTGCATAAATTTCTAAAGATACCCGAATTTAGCATTATGGATAGCATATATAATTCCTATATAGGAAAATAAAATAATAAAATAAAATAAAAGACAGTCTTTATGGCTTAGAAAACTTCATGTTTCAAAATATTTTAGCACAAAGAGAGATTACAATCTACTAGTAGTGAAAGATGTTGAAAGAGTTAAATTTTAAAATTGTTAAATATTTTTGTTAAAAATAATTATATAAATTATTTAAATTAAAATTTGAATATAACTCCACAATTCATTTTTTTTTTTAGATATTTGAAGTAAAATTAAGGTTTATGTTCTCAATTGAGTGCTATTCATCTTTCTCCGTAATAGTAATAATAAAAATAAAATTTTTTTTTAAAACAAATAAACGGTGAATCTTGATGTTTACTAACTTAAAAAATGTAATATACTTAAATATTCTGTTTTTATTTTTAATTTTACAAGGAAAAATTTCCTACTTTTTATCTGATTAAAACGCCCTTGTTATGATTTTGCAGGAACCATGATCTTCCTGTGTACTTTATTCGGGCACATAATGATGTTATGCTTCTCCAACGTGAATGTTAATCTTTTATTATTTGTGCATTTAAAGGCATATTGATAAATGGGCCCCACTATCATTGCATTATATATATATTGTACAATCCATTTTCTTGTAACCCTAATCAGTAATTGAGTTACAGAATTTGATGGCAAAATGTACAAATTTTTTCTTTTTAAAAACAGTTTTTTTCCGACTTTCCTTCGCAACCCCACATTTCTTGGCGTTTCTTATCTACCTCTTTAGCTTCTCAAGTCTCGTCTTTTAGGTTTGACCCAAACAGTTTTCGCCTTTTTAATACATTTATTGACTCTAGCCTAAGGACTCTATTACAAACCTATGTACAATGAAGTTTATGGTGAAAAAAAAAAAAAAAAAGAGAAAAGAAAAGATGGAACTCTAAATCTCAATCTCTTAATTTTCTTAATTAAAACTGAATAACAACTAATCAGATCAAACCTTTTGATCTTTATAAATATACTTTCTTCCAAGAAATTCGATCCTAATTCACTTGGATATCTCAAAAGATTTACATATCAATTCCTATGAAAGAATTGTTATAGTTTTTGTTTGTAATTTATGAAAATAAACTTTAATTGTATGAATAAATTTTAAGAGCTGAAAATTTTACCTAAAATTTAATGAAATAGCGAGTATCTTATTTGCAATTTTTTTATTATATAATATTATAATTAACCAATTACACTAAAAATATTATATAAGGATACATTACTTACAAAATAAAAAAGGGTGGGTACTATGTAGTATGTTTTCGATGACATAAAAACAGAGGTTATTTTTTAATAGAATTTAAATAAATAATTAAAAATTAAATATGAATTGGCAAATCTTATTTGACAAATAATGTTGGAAAAATAGGTCTTAACAACCTTATCACAACAAGAAATCATTTTCCATTGAGCAAGGGCACTAACAAATAAAGGGACATTCAAATTTGAAAACACAATCACATCCCCTACCATTTGTGTGGATACAAGGCATGCAATTCAATTGACACGATCAAGTTAAATGGTCTAAAAATTCACAATATATATTTTTAAAATTTTTCAAATGATCGATCAATCTATCAAGCTTATAATCGATCATAGCCGTCGAAATTCTTGCACTTATTTATTACGGTAGGTTGCAACCTAATAGAAATGGTCACCAATTTACTTCAATTCATAAATGGCTTGGCCCCTAATAACATGACCTACATCTAACAAGTTTTAATTCAACAGTGGATCCCACTGCAAATGTCTCTTTTATAAGATAAGTTTATGCAAAATTTTTCTTCTAACAATTATGAAATCCCCAAATATTTTTGTCAAACTTTCTATTGTCGCCATCGCCCCGTAGGACCCCTTTTGGCCACGAGTTGTGTGTGCCACAGCCTCATCCAACAAGTTAAAAAATTGAACAAGGAAAAAAAAAATGGTCTTTAGCCGTTGCTATTCTATCATTTTGCAATTAAGATTTTGGGATTAAAAGAAGCCTAGATCAGTACTCAGATGATCTAATTGAAAATCTCTTATTTAATAATGAATTTTTCCCTCAAGAATAATTGGCTTCAATTATTGATTAAAGGTTTATTAATAATTATGTTTAGAGATATTAATGAGTAGGGTATTTGATTAATAGAGTATTTTTCATCTCCATTTTCAAAATTTTATATTATATTTATTATTGTATTTATACCAATAACTATTTCAAATATATCATATTTTCACAGATATTTAATGAGTATGAGTAATCTCGTACCTACAATTTTTTTAAAAAAATAAAACTAAAATTTATTTTTTTAGTTATTTATTTTTATTTTGTATATTATATAATATTATAAATATATATTAATATTTATATTTAAATAAAAATATATTAATTTTAATTGATTTAAAATAATAATTTATATTATTTAATAAAAATTTATTTATTAAATATATAAATATATATGTAGGATACGAGTGCTATATATATATTACTCGTCCTCATCTCTATATCTTATAAAATTTTAAAATTATATCTATCTTCATCTTACAATATAATTTTTATTTTTATTTTTATTTAAATATAAAATTAAATTTTTTATTGAATATAAATAAAATTAATATCTCTAAAGGTATTTTAATTATTTTATTAAAATACTATCAACCGTCATTAAAAGTCTGAAAATTAAAAGAAAAACAAAAAAAAGTAGATATTATTTTTTCATACAAATAAGGTGGACGACTTGAAAATTAAAATTTAAACTTAAATTTAATTAAATATCACATCTTTATGAACCAATTAAAAAGAAAGTACATAAAGATGAAGAGGAGGGACCGGCTTTTAAACGCATATAGGAGGACAGACAAAAACCAAGTAATTATCATCATCGTCTGTTTGCACAGCTGTTGATAAATTCTGAAATATTTATTAATCTTTTCTGTATTATTAATATATATATATATATATATTTCTGTGCCACTCTTTCATTATTACTGAGAGAAAAGAGAAAGGGTAGTTCCCCCGCTCCTCTTTGCCCTGCTTTTTAGCCAACCAACCCCTTTAAAAAAATAAAAAATTTAAAATATAAAAAAAACCCTGAAGATTCCTTTGCTATAAGGAAAATAAAATACTAAATTTTTTAAGTACAACAAGGAAAAAAATGCAACTTCATGAGATTGACAAGCAGATCCCACAAACCAAAATAAATTAATAAATTCACCCGAATAAAAGCCATCTTCTGAAAGAAAAAAAAAAAAAATTTCACCTCCCTCTTTTCTCTGTGGATAGATAGGATCATTGGAATAGAGACATACAAAGTAGAATTTTTTTTTTTTTATATTTGTTAACTTAAATTTTTATTTTTTTCCCTTTTTTTTCGTAGAAAGCTGTAAGTAAATTGCAAGCTCTTGCCAAGGGGTTAAAGAAGAGAAAGAAAGAGTAAGTTGTCGTATCCAAAAAATCATATATGCTGGGTGGTGGTGACAAAAGTGCTAGTGTTCTTGGAAGCAGCAGCGACGGTGGTGCAGGTGGCGACGTCGCTGCTACTGCAACGGTTAGCAGCAGCGGAGCTCGTGATGGAAGCAGCGGAGCTCGTGATGGAAGCAGCGAAGCTTTACCTCCAAACGGCTATAGTAACAATTCAGGTGAAGATGATAGAGGAAGGGTTGATGAAGGTGACCGTTCTTTTGGAGGCAACCGGTGGCCGAGGCGAGAGACTTTGGCACTTTTGAAAATAAGGTCCGACATGGATGTTACCTTTCGTGACGCTAGCGTTAAGGGTCCATTATGGGAAGAGGTTTCCAGGTAATTGTTATTTATTTTTTCATTTTCCTTTTTTTTTTGTTGATAATTCAATGAAGATTTGATGAGTTGAGATCTCAGTTTTCGAATTGTTTACTTTCAGTTTTGTACTCATTACGGGGAAGCATTAGAGTGCGGGAATTATATTCCTTTGTTTATTTCTGTTTGCTTTAAGAGGAAAATTATTAAGTTCAAGTTGAGAGAATTCAGCATCTTCAAGGGAATTCAATGTCATATGATTAAGATATTTGGGCACTTTGGGATATGGGATTTGTTATCATTTCTGGCATTTGCTTTTCCCAATATTTCACAGGGAATCTTCAGCTGAATTTTGCTCATAAATTTTAGTTCAAGTCTCTATCCCTTTCCCTTGCTCATTTCTTCACTCTCATTCTGTCAAACTCTCAAAAAAAAAAAAAAGAAAATCTTGCATCTTGGGTGAGGAAAACTTGTTCATCAGCGCCAATTCTTGGTTTGTCTTCAATTCTATCATCCTTTTTGTCTCGACAGCTTTCATTTCTTTTTTCATTTTTATCTTCATTTTTGCTTCTATTAAAATTTTCTTGTCTCAATTATATATCAAATTCAATTCATAGTGTATGTTATGTGCGAATACTGTTTGGCTTTGTTTTATTGCTGAATTAAAGATAGGATAAATACAGAAATGGAGTTGTTTTTTCTACTGTTGATATCAGGAAACTAGCAGAACTTGGTTATCATCGAAGTGCCAAGAAATGCAAGGAGAAATTCGAGAACGTTTACAAGTATCACAAGAGAACCAAAGATGGCCGAACTGGTAAAGCAGATGGAAAGACTTATCGGTTCTTCAATCAATTAGAAGCCCTCGAAAATCAGCCTTCCATTCAATCGCCAGCAGCAGCAGCAGCACCACCGCAACTAAAGCCTCAAGCTCAAACGGCAATGCCAGCACCTAATCCTCCGAGTCTGCCCCATATCACTGTTCCATCACCAAATATAAACCTTACAGACCCTTCCTTCCCATCGACAAACCCTACAATTCAACCTCCACTACCAGCAACAAACCCGACAATTCCTTCTTTCCCAAATATTTTCGCAGATAATTCCACCTCCTCATCTACCTCATCAGATTTAGAATTAGAAGGTCGGAGGAAGAGGAAAAGAAAATGGAAGGAATTTTTCGTGAGGCTAATGAAGGAGGTGATTCAGAAGCAGGAGGATATGCAGAAGAAATTCTTGGAAGCAATAGAGAAACGTGAGCACGAAAGAATGGTCCGTGAAGATGCTTGGAGGATGCAAGAAATGTCAAGAATAAATAGAGAACGCGAGATATTAGCCCAAGAAAGATCAATAGCTGCCGCAAAGGATGCAGCAGTAATGGCGTTTCTGCAAAAGTTATCTGAGCAGCAAAATCCGGGGCAGCCGCAAAATAATTCGCTACCGTCACAGCAACCACAAGCTCCTCCACCACAGCGAGTATCGGTAGAGGCACCAGTAGCGCTGCCAACAGAAGCAGCAGTGCCAGCGCCTGCTCCACCACTTGTGCTGTTGCCAATGGTGAATTTAGACGTGTTAAAGACAGATAATGGCGATAAAAGTTACACACCAAGCTCTTCAAGATGGCCTAATGTTGAGGTTCAAGCATTGATTAAGCTAAGAACTAGCCTTGACGCTAAATACCAGGATAGTGGTCCTAAAGGACCATTATGGGAGGCGATGTCAGCTGCAATGAAAAAGCTTGGGTACAATCGCAACGCCAAAAGATGCAAAGAGAAATGGGAGAACATAAACAAGTACTTTAAGAAGGTCAAAGAGAGCAACAAGAAAAGGCCCGAGGATTCAAAAACATGTCCCTACTTTCACCAACTTGATGCTTTATATAGAGAAAAGAACAAGCATGACAGCTCCTCCAATCAATTAAAACCCGAGAACGCAGTCCCATTGATGATACGCCCAGAGCAGCAATGGCCCCCTTCTCCTTCGGAGCCCAATCAACACCAACATGATCATGTAATGGAAGACATGGAAAGTGATCAGAATCAAGAAGAAGACGACAAGGACGGTGATGATGAGGAGGAAGATGAAGGGGGTAGCTATGAAATTGTAGCTAGCAAACCGGTTTCAATGGGCACAGGTGAGTGATATCAGTGTCAGAAGCAAACTAACCAGCACTGTCAAATTTCATCGCCCGCATGTCGGCTGATAAATGTTACTTAAGAATCTATTCTTTTGAGTTGATGTTTTAGCAGCTATCGGCCGGGCAACTAGGTCAGGAACCGGCAATGGTGCATTGGAGTGGAGGCAGTTGAATTGAAATTTTATAGGTGAGTACACATTGGTGGGGTTGTAGCATATAGTCAGTGGAATTTATATGTTTATTTTCATTGCTATTATTTATTTTTTTGGCTAAATAAATAAGTTGAGAGGGAGAGGTAGATCAGATAGAGTTTCAGAATCTAATTCCACATAATAAACAGGGAAAAAAGACTAGCGCTGTAATTTTTTTTTTTTTTTTTATTTTTTTTTATGTTCATTGTTCGTCTTCGTGGTGGTGTAAATGTAAGAACTGTTAATTTCCAGCTAGCTTTTGCTTTTCTGGTTCCTTTTTTTCCATTGTCCAAGTTTTCACATGTCCACTGGACAAAAGCCTTCCACTGTGCTATAGCTTATCTCCTGCATGCATATATGTGAGAAAGAGAAAATGGTGGCGTTGCTGAAAAGATGATGAGTTGAGTTACTTACACAGATAGATATATAATAGTGCATAAATATTAATTAAGCTTAGCCAAGGTGCAGAATCAGTGCCATTTTGCATAGAAGCTTTTGCCAAAATATGCCAACATCGCACGTCCCAAACAGGGTCCACTAAAAGGAATCTTTTTAGTCGTGTTAGATCAAAATGCCCCAATCCAATCATACCAACGGAAACATAATCAAACAATTAATCAATTACAAAAAAGACAATAATTAACGTGGTTTGACCCAATTGACCTACGTCCACAGATGAAAAAAAGATCAATTAGTTGTAGAGAATTATAAGCATACAAGCAGTCACAATTAATACCTATAAACCCTCTCAATCTCTTCTGATCTTATGGAGTATTTTGAACCCAAACATACACATACCCATGTGTACCCATGTACCATACTTATATGGATCATCTCAATCTCCTCTAGTCCACTTACATGCATCATATCTATGTGGACCATCTTTGTCTCCTCTAGTCCACTCAAACATACATACCCATAAGTACGTTAACCTCCTATAGTCCTATGGGGTGTCTATCCCATAAAACCCTATAACTCTCTTACATTTTTTTATACCTAACCTTATAGAGACTTCACCTATTTATAAGCATACAAACTTACCTATTAAAAATCCATTTCCTCTTAGAATTCTTTTTTTGCAAGTCTTCTTGTCCATCAAGCAATATCTAACCAATCCCAAACAAATCTCTTATGAGTTTGAGTCACTATTCCTAGCAATCTCCACCTTGACTGAAATTCTATCAAATTATCTTTTTTCATGCTAGACATGCTTGACTCCACTTGCAATGAAAGTCTCATAATCATATTCTTTTATGTGTCTTCTCACTTTATGCAAACTGATCCTCAATCCTCAAAACATGAACTTGAACTCTTTTTTTAAATTGAGCTCCTCTAGGCTTGTTTCTTCCCATTTCTCAAACCATGCTCTGTTACCAATTGTTAGGGATCCCCACAACTTTGATACCACTTGTTAGGGTAAAAGGTCTTAATCCAATCATACCAATAGAGGCATAATCAAACAATTAATCAATTACATAAGAGACAACAATTAATGTAGTTCTTGAATTGATTTTTTTATTAAAAAATTTGACCATTCAAAAACAATTTTGAAAATTCTTTTAAATAAAAATTCAATAACCTTTTGAAAATAAAATAAAAAATCATGCTCGAAGGTCTTACAAATCTCAAAAGTAAAATAGATTCAGCTTGAAAGACTTATGAATCCTGCCTAGAGGACTTAGAGATTATGCCTGGAGGTCTTATAAAACTCGACATCTTTGAATGCTTCTCATATCAAAGACGTTGAAACTTTGAAATTTTAAAATATTTCATCTAGACGTCTTAGAGATTATACTTGGAGGTTTTAAAGATTATGCACGGAGGTCTTTGAGATTATGCCTAAAAGTCTTACGAATCTTGACATCTTTGAATGCTCCTTATATCAGAAATGTTGAAACTTTGAAAATTTAAAATGTTTTGCCTAGAGGTCTTAGTGATTATGCTCAAAGGTTTTAAGGATTATACTAGAGGTCTTACAAATCTTGACATCTTTGAATGCTCTTTGTATTAAAGGCATTGAAACTTTCAAACTTTAAAATATTTTACTTAGAGGTCTTGAAAATTATGCCCGAAGATTTTAAAAATTATGCTTGAAAGTCTTAGAGATTATGTCTAGAAGTCTTATAGATCTTGACATCTTGAAATGTTCCTCATATCATAGGCATAGAAACTTTAAAAATTTAAAATATTTTACCCAGAAGTCTTACGATTATGCCCAGAAGATCTGGGTGCCAACTTAATTGGGCTTAGTTTGATCTAGGTATCAATTAAACTGGGCTTAAAATTTTAACTGTGCTAGCTAAACTAGGCTTAAATATTATCTGGGTGTCAGTTAAACTAGGCTTAGGTCTTATCTTGTATCATATCTCATCTTATTTCTTTCATTTTTTTAACAACCCTTCCACTTTTGTAAATCATTTTTCTTTCAACTCTTCAAACCTTTTTGATATTTAAGTCTTTTGTCAAACTATTTTCCTTTTTTCTTATTTTTCTCTCATCTTTTTCATGATAAACTTCCTTCTCTCTTTTTGCCCCTTAAAATAAATACAAGTGACTTTTTTCATAATGCAAATACTAATGTTCCTTTCATGTAAATGCCCTTACAAATAATTTTCTATAATGCAGATGCCATAATTTAAATACAAATGTCTTTCTCATGATACAGATGCAAGCGATGCAACTATGAATGTCTTTTTCATGATATATATGCTAATGCGAATGTCTGCCTCATGATGCAAATGTAAGTGCGAATGTAAGTGATGAAATATGAATGGCTTTTTGTTTTAATTTTTGTAGCATGCAGATCAAATGTCTTTCTCATGATGCAAATGTGTACGCAAGTGATGTGAATACAAAGACTCTTTTGGTTTCTTTTTTTTCAAAGGATCTTTGTTCAAAATTTCAATGTTCACTCTCCACAATAATGATCTTAGTATTCTGTACAAAATGCTTAAATAATTTTTGAACTTTTCAAAAGTGATCACAAAATTACCCTCTATAAATGATCTTTTTAATCAATAAGAAAAGTTAAAAACTCATGACTTTCGAATCTCTAGACAATTGATGATTACTATTTGGAATGCTTGGGGATAGGGGTAAATAAAAATTCAATTCTTTTCTCAAATAAGGTTCGATAAAGGTTGTAAGGATTACTTTTGGGCTCACGAAAAAGATCATTTTTCTAAAACACTTTTCTTTTATTGAAAACATGATACTTCAATTTACGTCAAAACTAACCATTATTTTTTGAAAAAGATTTGGGAAAAAAAAGGTTGATTTTTTATTTTCACTTTTTGGTGAAATGCAAAGTCTTTAATGGATATTGATCCTTCAAAAGGTTTTTTATTGTGACTTTTTATTTTGGATAGAACCTTGAAACTCTAAAATTCATTTGGGGCCTCAATAGTGGCTTTAGCTTTAAACTGCGATTTTTGAGTTTTCACCTTAGAGCTATATTTTTTAACAATGAAGAACTTGATAAAATCTTGCCCATTACTAATAGGTATGTACAAATTTTCAAGGACACAGGTTTTCAATTCAAGTGTCCACATTTGATCAAAATGGACTTTTCAAGGTATATAATGTAAGCCAAGGTTTGAAGTTATGAAATAATGGATAAATAGGCTAAAAAATATTATTCAAGATAATTAAGCCAAAGATCTTACGGAGCATTCTCTAGTTAAAAGCCATTTGTCTTTCTTTCTTTACTCTTTTTTTTTAGGAACATTTAATTTCAACTTTAGCATTCTACTCTCTTGAATTCTATCATCTTGAGATTCTAACAAATGGTTTATTCACTTTTCGCCTCGAGCTCATCTCCGAGGTATATGTCTTCTTTTTTGTTTTTTTTGTTTTTTGGAAATATCTGATTTAAACTTTAGCATTTTACTTTCTTGAATTCTATCCTCCATTTTATTTGGGATTCTAACAAATGCTTTATTCACTTTTGGCTCAGAGCTCATCTTTGAAGTACATATCTTTCTTTTTCTGCATTGTTTTTTCCTCTTTTTTTTTTTTTTCTTTTTTGGCATTTTTTTTCCTTTTTTTTTTTTTTTTTTGGAAACATTTGACTTCATTGTTAGCAAACTACTTTCTTGAGTTTTTGAAATTCTAAATGAAACCTTATTCACTTTTTACCTCGAGCTCTTATCTCTGAAGTGCATATTAGATTTTCTTAATATCAAACACTTTTCTTAAAATTCTCTTAAAGATATCTTTATTTTGCCCCTTAGTGTAAAAGATAATCTTAGACCGGGGTTCATTTTGGAAAAAAAATTTAATAGGCTCAAATGGATAGCAAGTGGATAATTTTTCCTTATACGAAGACAAAGAAATATGGTCAGTCATCATTTCAAACATGATCACTTAGTTAGAAGAGCATGTTATTTGAAGAAAGAAATAAAATATTTTTTTGTTTTTGTTTTTCTTTTATTTTTATGTTATAATCATTAGTTGTTTTTGCATAATTGATGCCCTATCTTGTTTTCCAATCAAGGTTTATATGAAAGTGAAAATCAAGTTATATGAGATGTCCCAAATTTGATTATACAGTTCACAAAAAGCTCATTTTAGTTTCAAATTGTTTAGCATTTATGGTAAAATGAAGGGAAAAGATATTAAGGCATGTGACAAATTATCTTAGGTGAGAAGAAATTTTGCTTCTTTTAGTCAATGTGCCTTAAGATGTCAAACAAGGGCTACTTGAAAAAATGTTCAAGTATTTTTCATGTCTATGGTCATCGAAAGAATTTGAATGGTTCAATCATATTGGCAAAATTTGACACATATTGAATTACCAATTACAAATTTGAAATAGTATCTTGCTTGGTTTTTAAAATTGAAAATGAATTTTCAAAATTGGCCTATTTTGTTTATTGCTTAAGAAAAGATTATTATCTCAATATATTAAAAGATGATAAGGTTTGCAAACTAAAATTTATGCCCTTTAAAGGATTATGACTAGTGAGTGAGGTTATTCAAAATGATTGAAGCATGGGAGCAATCAAGCAAAAATGAAAGGGTAATGGATGAGTTTTTTTTTTAATAGTAATCACCAAGTACTTTGAGACTTCTTCCATCTTTTATTACAAAAGAAAACTTTTTTTTTCTTATTCTTTTTCTTATTTCCTTTTTTTTTTTTTTAAAACACTTTACATTTTATGGTTTTGAAAATTAATTATATGGGACTATTATTCAAACAATTATATAAAAATAAAATTTCTTAGAAAAATCAAAAGCACTCATTT